GATCAGCTCAGTGCTTCGTGACCACCTAGAGGGGTGGGGTAGGGAGGGTGGGAGGGAGACGCAAGAGGAAGGGGATATGGGGATATACATATATGTATAGATGATTCACTTTGTTATAAAGCAGAAACTAACACACCATTATAAAGCAATTATACTCCAATAAAGATGTTAAAAAATTTTTTTAAAAGGGTCACATGTTGTATGATTCTATTATGTCCAGCACAGACATAGAGACAGAAAGTAGATTAGTGGTTGCCGGGGGGTGGGGGGGGTGGGAGGGGGGGTCCGAGCCGCCCCAGTCCGCCCTGGGCGAGCCGTGCCGGAGCAGCTAGGCGGCCACGCTCTGCACCGCGGCGTCCGGGCCTCGGGGTCTCCCTCCCGCCCGCCGTCTCGGCTGATGCTGAGGGTCGGTGCCCAGCCTGCGCCGAGGGGACCCGGCCGGGCTGCGGAGCCGAGCCGGGCCGGGGGCCGGAGCCCGAGCCTGCGCTCACGGCGCTCATCAGAAGTTAAGGTAAGCGGGGCCACTACCGGCGCTCCCTGCGCTGAATGGTGGAGTTTACGTCTCGGTGATTTATGGCTGCAGACTTAAATCTCGGTTCAAGAAGAGTTCACAAGCCGGAGCTTCCTTCCCGGCAGTGACTGATACCCTTACACTTCGAGTTCAGGCCGCTCTCCCATCCCCGCCCCCACCTCTTCCCTCTCGCTAGCCCAGCCTCAACTTTTCGGGGTTGGGGAGGAGGGGAAGCAGTGGGCGAGGGGACGCGGGAGCTCTTACCCGCTGTTCCCGCTTAAACTCGGGGTGAGGGCAGGCCGAGGAAGTGGCGGGAGTGGAGAAAGGGAGCAGTGTCTGAAGGAAGGAGGTTGAATTTGGGCATATCTTCCAGAGAGACAATAGGGCTTGCTTCCTGCAGTCAGTTTAGCCTCCTCAACTCTTTCAGTTCTTGCACCTGGGGGGTTACTGTCCAGAAACGGATCTTTTCAATGGAATCTCCTCCCATCCCCAGCCCTTGCCAGGGGATGCAAAGCAAAGTTTCCTGGCTGGCAAATATCCAACTTCTTTACTAGGTTGCAAACTTTGGGGGCTGGGGTGGGGTGGGGTGGTGGATTATGTGGGCCCCAAGGTGGTTATCCGTTAGCCTCAAACAATAGGAAGGACTTTGGTGGATGAATTCACATTTTAAGTTTATGGAGGTTATTGTTTGCTCTTAGAGTTTCAACGGTAGTTTTTATTATTTTATAAGACAATGCATAACTTGACGAAAAGACCGTAAGCCGCAGGCCGGTGTAGCCTGTGATAATGAATTAGCAAGTCACTTGAAATATTGCATGTTCAAAATCAACTTAATTTTGTTTTATCTAATATCTTGCTGTTCAAGTGTCTGGAGTAATTTTCTTAACCTGACGTTTTATGTTACACAAGCCCAGTATCTTAAAAATTTATAATGGCAGACATTAACACTGCCAAATGTAATTGGAGTTATTTTCAGTGAAAGAACAGGAAACGGAGACATTAAATTGCTATTCTGTTTTAAATTTTATTTTATCCTTTATTTACTTTTTGATCATGGTATCTGTAGCTTCCTATCCATTTCCAAAAGAGAAACAATACTCCAGGGCTCAAGATCACATACAATAACTCCGGATAAGGGCTGCTGTAATTTTTAATTGAGGTTCTGGAAAATTAATTGTGCCTGTTTTCCAGATGTTGGTCAGATTGTTGGTTTAATAATGAAATCAAAAGGAGTCCATTATTAAAAACAAAATTATAATCATCCACTGCTATATGCTTACTACATTAATTTTTTCTAGTTAACAAAGTGTCTGCTATTCCTGGAATCTTGAATAACTTCAGGACTCAAATACACATAGTTGAGGCATGAAGTGTAAGCCCTTTTGAAATTCAATTACAATGAATTTGTCATTGTAATTTTCTTAAATGGTCAGAGAGACTAACATTCTGATTGTGTGTGCGGAGCGACTATTTGAACTCACGTGAAAGTTTTCTGAGCTGAGTGAGAACCGGAGGTTGACCATGCAAAGGTGAAAACAAAAATAAAACATAGATTTCACTTATACAATATGCTTTCTAAATAAAAAGGGTTGAGAAGGCTTTCGATTGCTTTTTAGATTTCCAGGTTTGTCCTTTACTTGGTGTTTCTGAAGCAGGTAAATAGGCCAAGTAACAAATATCAACAACAACAACAGCACACAAAGATCAGGGAACTCTGGCAGGATTTTATGGCTTGTGCTTCCATCCCTCGTACAGAGCCAAATGACCCCCATACATCACATTACATAGCAGTTTCTAAGACAGAACCTATTATCGTTAAGTTGGAAGGAGAGTTCAAGCCGTGGTCATGGAGATGACGCTGGTTTTTCAGGTTCCTGATGGTTTTTTTTTTTTTCTCTAATCCATCATGTTTTAACAGGTAGAATTTGATAGTTGCCCTGAATAACAGGACCTCAGAAAGTCCAAGGCAGGAGGGTCTGGAGACCTTCTGTAACAGGGGCAAAGAGGTGGGAGTGGCCTGCTGGGACCCCCCTGAGAAATAGGGAGAGGGAAGGAGTAAAGAACTGTCCAAGATCTGAGTTTGACTTCCTGGAGAGAGTGTCGTTGTTGGTCCATCCCCACCCAGAATGTTCCATCCAAAGTTTTCTCTCCCTTCCTTGACCACAGGGGTCTCATGTGGAGGAGGTGGGTCATATCCCTGCACAAGGGTAGATTAACTGTCTAACAAGCTCAGCTTCTGAAATCGACAAGGGTCCAGTAGGGCTATTGCCTGAAAAAAATTTGTGCATACCTCTCTTGGGTGCTGGAAGGTCCAAGAAGGGCCTGGACGGGAAGTCACCCTGCATCATGGTGCTTTTGGCAAATATCAGTCCTAAAGAGAGGATTGGAGAAAAAGTTGGTGACCCAAGCTCCCCCTTGCCTCTTCCCTATGATCTCCAGAGGGGAGGAATCCAAGTTGTGGAGAGGAAGGGACACCCCAATTTTCTTCTTCCCTGGAAAAGAAGGGATCCAGAGCCTGTTCCTTTCTAGCCCATCAGGCCTCTCTCCTTTTGGATTCCAGCTCCCCAGACCCGGCTTCCGGACCTCTCACTCTCCTTCCCTCTCCCCGGAAAACACCCCAACTCCAGATGCAAGTTAAGCAAATATTTGTAGCTGCCAGTAAATTCCAGCGGCTTTTTATAGCGCGGCTCTCTGCGCCCGGGGCCAAATCGTGCTGCTAAATATTGCTGACCACTTTTTCTTTTATGGCTTTCATGTCACTTAGCTATTGAGAGTAAGATGGATTTGCGCGGAGCCCTCACGGCGCTGCGATTCTCGCCCCCCAGGTCTGCGCTGGTCGGCCATTGGCGGCGGAGCGTCACGTGACCGCGGGGGCGTGCCAATGTGCGCCCTCACGGGTGTCAAGCCCCTGTCAGAGTGTGCGATCAAGATCGTGAAACAACGCGATGCAAAAAGCGACCTACTACGACAGCTCGGCGATCTACGGTGGCTACCCTTACCAGGCAGCCAACGGGTTCGGTTATAATGCCAGTCAGCAGCCGTACCCGGCGTCCGCAGCACTGGGCGCCGACGGCGAGTACCACAGACCCGCC